GTGGCAGTCTTAACTTTGATAAAGAATATCTCTTTGGTTTTGAGACTTTAGTCTTTGCAACTTCAGGGATCTTATCTATGCCCAATCAGCTTGTAACACTCGAAAGAGAAAGGAAAACTTGAAATCGCATCATATGACCCCTTTAAAGTAATACGATTCTCATGGTGCATTGATGTCATGGTCATGACATCCAGTGGAGTAAAAAGCTTTTAAAGCAATTTTAACCATTCAGGCTGAGGTTTACTGTAAACACAGTGGATGATCGGCTTTGACACTTACACTATATATAGATATATGACCTCAGTCATTACAAAGCCAAAATGGCTGAAGCAAAAAGCTAAATGATGCATTGGATAGATTTAAATACATTACCCTGAGGACAGTGACACATTCTTGATATTTAGAGGTTAAACAAAATTAAAGGTCAAACTCCAAACTTTGACCAAAAAACAGAGGCAGTACTGGGAATAGGTCACCATTTTATTCACTTCCTTCAAAGCATTGAGGCAGTTGGAAAAGGCTTATGAAATTCACATTTCACAAGTCAATAAATAGGTTGTGCAATCTAGGTAGAAAATCTGTTCCCTGTGATCTGGAAATGTGACCCGTTAATACCCCTTTTTTATTTTTTTTTTTTGTTTTATTGCAACCATCTCTCTACAAGTTGAAGTCATCCAAAACTTCCACAAAAGTAACAATTTTAGAGGAGTCCAACTATAGAGGGCAACAGTAAACATTGCTATGGAGGTAGCGTAGTGGCTTTGGAATGGCTTAGTCGACCTCCTCAATGGTTGGGCCGGAGGATCCACCTCCTGGAGCAGAGCCAGCTCCTGGGAAGCCACCGGGCATACCATCAGGCATTCCACCTGGCATGCCTCCAGCACTCTGGTACAGCTTGGTGATGATGGGGTTGCATACCTTCTCCAGCTCCTTCTGCTGGTGCTCAAACTCCTCTTTCTCAGCAGTCTGAAAGTTTTCAAACAGACGTCAAGTCACAGAGTTTGCCAGTGCAAGCAATTCAAAAACCACTTGATTGGCCAAATGTCTAAACGGATAGCAAACTTACCTGGTTCTTGTCAAGCCAACTGATGACTTCATTGCACTTGTCAAGGATCTTCTGCTTGTCCTCATCACTGATCTTGCCCTTCAGTTTCTCATCCTCAACAGTGGACTTCATGTTGAAGGAGTAGGACTCCAGACCATTCTTGACAGACACCTTGTCACGCTGCACATCATCCTCAGCCTTGTACTTCTCTGCCTCCTGCACCATGCGCTCAATGTCCTCCTTGCTGAGACGACCTGAAATGGACTTCCAGTTAACCTCTAAAGTGGCCACCACAAAGTCTTTAAATATTTAGGTGTAGAGGAGAGAAGACTTACCCTTGTCGTTGGTGATGGTGATTTTGTTCTCCTTGCCAGTGCTCTTATCCACAGCTGAAACATTCATGATGCCATTCGCATCAATGTCAAAGGTGACCTCAATCTGGGGAACACCGCGAGGTGCAGGGGGGATTCCAGTAAGCTCAAACTTGCCCAGCAAGTTGTTATCCTTGGTCATTGCACGCTCACCCTCATAGACCTGAAAAGGGGGTAATTGAAACAAGACAACATTGTTTAAAGTAATCGACAAGACATTGGGTGGGATAAAAGACTAAACCCCTAATAGAACTATTTCGTACCCACCTGAATAAGCACACCAGGCTGGTTGTCAGAGTAGGTGGTGAAAGTCTGAGTCTGTTTGGTTGGAATGGTGGTATTACGCTTGATGAGGACGGTCATGACTCCACCAGCGGTCTCAATTCCAAGGGACAGAGGAGTGACATCTAGCAGCAGCAAGTCCTGAACGTTCTCCGACTTATCACCAGAGAGGATGGCAGCCTGGACAGCTGAAACAAAAGTGAGAAATAAGAACCTTGGACAAATTGAGATGGTCAGATAGCAATGACAGCAGTCGCTCAGACATCCAAGGAAGGTTCTTGGGCCATCTTTGGTCTTTCAACCTCTGGTGGAAACTACGAATGGCAAGGAATCAACTTCATCATAGCAAACAACAAAAAAAAAAAAAACGGATTAAAACAAAATCACCCACCTGCTCCATAGGCCACAGCCTCATCAGGGTTGATGCTCTTGTTGAGCTCCTTGCCGTTAAAGTAGTCTTGGAGCAGCTTCTGGATTTTGGGAATGCGAGTGGAGCCACCAACCAGGACAATGTCGTGGATCTGAGCCTTGTCCATCTTGGCATCACGAAGGGACTTCTCGACTGGGTCCAAGGTTCCACGGAAGAGGTCAGCGTTGAGCTCCTCAAAACGGGCCCTTGTGATGGAGGTATAGAAATCAATACCCTCATAGAGGGAGTCGATCTCAATACTGGCCTGAGTGCTGGATGATAGGGTACGCTTGGCCCTCTCGCAGGCGGTGCGGAGACGGCGAACGGCTCTCTTGTTGTCACTGATGTCCTTCTTGTGCTTGCGCTTGAACTCTGTGATGAAGTGGTTCACCATGCGGTTGTCAAAGTCTTCTCCACCCAAGTGAGTGTCTCCAGCAGTAGATTTGACCTCAAAGATGCCATCCTCAATGGTGAGGATAGACACATCGAAAGTGCCACCACCAAGATCGAAGATAAGGACATTCCTCTCAGCACCAACCTGAAAAGAGGAATTAAGAGCATAAGTATTCGCATGTACATTAATTAATTGTATGACACTAAATTTTTCGCTCAGACATCCAAGGAAGGTGCTTGGGCCATCTTTGGTTTTACAACCTCTGGTGGAAACTACGAATGGCAAGGAATCAACTTCATCACAGCGAAACTAAAGCGTTAAAAAAAAAAAAAAAAAAAAAATTCCTGAAAGTTGCAAGTTTTTCAAACCTTTTTGTCCAGACCATAAGCAATAGCAGCAGCAGTTGGTTCATTGATGATACGCAGAACATTCAAGCCAGAGATGGTTCCAGCATCCTTGGTGGCCTGTCGCTGAGAATCGTTGAAGTAGGCAGGCACTGTGACGACGGCGTTGGAAACAGTCTGCAAAGAGTGCACAAATTAGATCCCAACTGCCACTTGGAACTAAAGGCAACAATACATATAATAATAATAATAATAATAATAATAAACTACAGTATAGTGCATGTCGCTCAGACATCCAAGGAAGGTGCTTGGGCCATCTTTGGTTTTTCAACCTCTGGTGGAAACTACGAATGGCAAGGAATCAACTTCATCATCGCGAAGCACAGTCAAATGGGAGTTTAATAGAGCTACCCCACAAACAGCTGAATGATCACTCACCTTTCCCAGGTAGGCCTCAGCAATTTCCTTCATCTTGGTGAGGACCATGGAGGAAATCTCTTCAGGGTAGAACGACTTGGTCTCACCCTTGTAATCAACCTGGATCTTGGGACGGGTATTGTCATTGATGACATTAAAAGGCCAGTGCTTCATGTCAGACTGAACAACACCATCATCAAACCTGCGGCCAATCAGACGTTTGGCATCTATTGGAGAACGAACACACAAAAAAAAAAAAAAAAAAAAAAAAAAAAAAAAAAAAAAAAAAAAAGGAATAAAAGGGTTTTAAAAAAAAAAAAAAAAAAAAAAATTATGCTAAACTAAGTGAAAACAAGAAAAGCAGTCTATGGAAGTGAAAACTTTTAAAATTCAATAAAATAAATAAATATAAATAACCGGAATCATTTATAATGGTTCAGCACACCCGGAAAATATTCCACATGTATTAAAAAAAAATTATAAAAAAAAAGGAAAGGAAATTCAGCTCTTCGTAATTAATGAAATAGTGATATACTACATGCAAGCAGAGAAGCAAATATTCAATATGAGATTATAAAACCAATATAATCAAAAAAGATAGAACAAAGACCTTACCAGGTTGGAAATAGCCGAGATGGGTGAAGACGCCGGTTGGATAGCTGGAATGGCGACAAACTGCTGCCTCGCCTTGCTTAGTAGAGAGAACGGTCGAATGTTCCAGAACACTATATATTGCCGGTAGCCGAGCCAATGAAATTTCAGATGACTCAACTTCAGCCCGTAAGAACCAATGCAATACCGGAATTTTCGTTTAGCCACGCCCACTATGGGAAGAACCAAAGATATAACTGGTTGAAAAAAATTCAAACCATCCCCCACAAGTTTGCCGCAAACCGCTGTCAATGCGGAACAGTTTGTCCTTTACATACATAGGATGAAATCAGCCTGCACATTCACTGGAAATGCGTCGATGATACAGCAAAACAGAAATGTTTGATGAAAATATATCAAACCGTCGTTTAGTAGATTACACCATGACAAGCACATACAAATTGAAAATAACAAATGTAGCTCAACAGCCCAGTGACCTTGGTTTGGGACTGTAAGGTCTTGCCTAGTGAAAAATATCAGTCATTACTTGAAAGAAATACCATTACTTATACAGCTCGAGAATGTTCTAGATATTTTACAATACGTATAAATCACGTTGAAATATAATGATTTAAAAATTGAATTAGATTAAGGTCATAATACTGCTCCAATGTGCATCATGAAGAGCTTTGTGTTGAAGCACGAGGAGCTGATCACGCAGCGCCGGGGTGTAACGTTACCGACGAAACATGTTATCAGATTGTGCTACCAAAAATATATTTTCATTGTTTTAAGGGTAAGTTTAGGGTAAGGGTAAGTATGGACGGGTAGGTTTAGGGTAGGGGTAGATATGGACACATGAATAAGATGCTGGTAGCACAATCTGATAGGTAGCATTTTTCGCTATCGATTTGTGCTACCTATCTTTTTAATGGGCGGTAACGTCAGCACAATCTGAGCGGGTAGCACAAATCATCAGAACACCAGCTGAAACCTTTGAGGCAGAGTATTATTATTATTATTATTATTATTTATCCTGTTAAAGGGGAAAGAGATAAGAAAAAAAACGAAATTTCTAAGTGAAGGAAAGGGAACGAACCAGGAAATAAACTATGATTGCACAGAAGCCCAGCAGGGGGCGATACACACACAGAATACGAATCGCCAAAAAATAAGGAAGTAGAAAATGTGTCTACAACATAATATGAATCGAAAGCCACTAAAGACAAAGGTCACATAGTAAGTGCTTTTCAGACTTAAAAAAGTTACTATTTAAAGACCACATGCGTTTTCGTTAAGCCCAAAACAATATTGAAGAGGACGTGACATCCAAAAAGTGCGCTTGGTTTAAGTCTTATTTAACATTTTTATTTTTTCATGCCTTAGAAGATTCGTCAGGCATAACATCCACACGTTACATAAAATAGTTTATTTAATTGTCTGCACTATTTATAAAAAAAAGGCACACTGACTTTTGAATATCAGAAGGCCAAACCCTGATAACAGGGCAAGCAGCAACCATTTCAGGTTAAAAAGAC